GGACTTATTTCGTATTGTGGGTCAGCTGACCGGGAAACAGAGGGACACATCTTTGCCAAATAACATTGCAGTAGGCGAGCTGCCAGACGCTCTAAATCAGTGGTTCTCAACCTTTCTAATGCCGTGACCCCTTTATACAGTTCCTCATGTTATGGCGACCCCCAAACAAAAAAATTATCTTTGTTGCTACTTCATAACTGTAATTTTGCTTCTGTTATGAAATATGTAATATAAATATGTTATGTAATATAAATTTCTGATCTGCAGGATTTATTTTCATTGTTGCAAATTGAACATAATTAAAGCATAGTGATTAATCACAAAAACAATAGGTAATAATATATTGTGAAATATTTATTTCTAATTACAAATAAATGAAATTTTGTCCTGAAGTATGTGTGACATGGGTACCAGTCTTAATATAACAACAGTAAATTACTTTGCTAAATTTTGCAACAGAGCCAACGTCAGTGCAAAGCTTGAGATTGTTTCTTTCTTACCAGATCAAAAATGCTCGGGACAGTCTTTGCAAGAGCACAACGAATATCATCTCCATAACAAGTCTACTTCTGTATTTAGACTTGATAACCACCAAGCTGGAAAACCCTGTTTCCCACAGATATGTCGTTGGGAATGGAAGAAAAAGGCGCAACACAGTCTCAGACGGATCGGAATATGACTGCAAACGCTTGATCCAGAATTTTGTAACTGGCATTGTGGATAAATCAGTTCTCGCTACATCGCTGTTAATAAGTTCAATGAACTCCTCTTGTGCTGACTCAGGAACATCTCCGACTTTGACTGTGAAAGAGCTTCTGGCAAGTGCAAATGGGGTGTCAGGTAGATTTGTAAATTACGATGAAATTTCGTCTGCAAACATGTGCAAGTGTTCTTTCACAGAACTTATCATCGTAATCCCTTTGTCTGGTTCAAAGGCATGCTCCTCAAAGACACCAAATAAGATTGGCAACATGTCAATTTTATGTTCATCCAATTTTTTTTTTTTTGGGGGGGGGGGGGGCAAAGCTGAAATTAAAATTTAAAAATTTTTTTTTTCTCCAATTTTTTTTTTTTTGGGGGGGGGGGGGCAAAGCTGAAATTAAAATTTAAATGATCGCATCTTTTTAGAAAAATCGAGCCACGTTGCATTTGGTCCTTGCGGTCATAAATTTAGCTCATTCAAGATGGCAAAGATTTCAACTAAGTAAGCTATGTTCTGCATTTCAATTGTATCACTAAAAAGAGTTCATACTGCGGTCTTGCTTTCTTAATGAAAAACGTTTTGAGTTCATCACGAAGCTCAAAAACATGTTTTACAACTTTTCCTCTCGACAACCATCTCACTTCGGTGTGAAATAGCAGAGCACTGTTCGGCGCATACAACTCGTTGCACAGTTGCAAAAACAGCCGACTGTTTAAAGTGCTCGCCTTTACAAAATCGACAGAACTTATGACGCTTTTTTGGTGACTTATTCAGTACCAAACGTTGAAATACAGATCGACATCCTAGTATAGCTGGAGTACCATCTGTGCAAACACCACAACACCTTTACCCAGAGATATGATGATCTTTCAGATATAGACCAACTGGGTCAAATACATCACGTGAAGTAGTTATCGTTTCAAGGGGTTTGCAAAAAAAAGAAACTCATCTTTAAAGTCGCCATCATTAATATACCTCACATAAACAAGTAACTGTGAACAGTTTGCAACGTCTGTAGATTAATCAAGCTGGATACTAAATATTGGAAGTGGTGCAGATTTCATTTCCTTGATTACTTGATCAAGAATGTCTGCAGACATGTAATCTATTCTTCTGTGGACAGTGTCGTTAGGTAAGGAAATTGCACTCAGTTTTGAAACAAATTCGTCTCCAATCATAATGAACATTTGTGACATGTCTGGTTTTTTAGCCGGACCAAATCAATCGGTTTCTAAGATCATTGGCATCGGAAATATGTGTTTTCCAGTGATCTTAGGCGACCCCCGTGAAAGGGTGACCCTTTGGGGGTCGCGACCCATAGGTTGAGAACCGTTGCTCTAAATAACTTCTTTATTACGACAGTTACGAAAATCAGGACGAGACTTGACAATTGCACCGATGCTCCCGAATTCTTGCCATTTAACGGAATTTTTGGAGGTCACTGAATCACATGTGAAGAAAGTCCTGGTTGACTCCCCGAAAAAGTAATGTTTGCTCGACCCTGATCTAGCAGGGCTAGCTGTTGTACGAATATTTGGATGAAATAGTCCCTATCATAACTAGTATCATTAATCAGTCTTTGAAAACAGGTATTGTTCCATCCTCTTTTAAAGAGGCGGTTGTAACTCCAATGCTAAAGAAAGCAAATCTGGACCCAAATGTGTTGGAAAATTATCGCCCAATCTCAAATCTACCTATTGCTTCCAAAATTTTAGAGCAAGTCGTTCTCCGCCAGTGTGACTTGTTTGAGCCTTTCCAGTCAGCATACAGGGCGCATCACTCTACTGAGACAGTCCTGTTGCGCGTCGAAATGACCTTCTGCTATCTTGTGGTGAGGACAGGATATCCCTTTTGTCGTTACTTGATCTATCGGCAGCATTCGATACGCTTGACCATGGCATACTTCTCCAATGTCTGCAGAAAACTTTCGGTTTCATCGATACCGTCCTGAGATGGTTCCGCTCGTATCTGAAAAATCGGGTCCAATCAGTTATCGCAAACGGCTTGACCTCGAAGCACTGTATTATCGAATTCGGAGTACCCCAGGGCTCGGTCCTAGGTTCAGTACTTTTCACTACGTACGTTCAGCCCTTGGTTGCAGTGATCAAGCAGTTTGATATGCTCTATCACATGTTTGCAGGATCATACCCAACTTCAGCAATTCGTGACCCCAACTCAGTTCCCTCAGCTTCTTAGTATGACACAGAAGATAGTGGAGTTAAATAAGCACTAGAGCTGCGCAGAATTAGTCATACCAGACTTTTCTCAACGTTTGATGCAAGAAAGAGGCTGGTGTCAGCATTTGTGCTATCACGCATGGATTACTGCAATGCTCTCATGGTGGGTCTTCCAGCTAAGCTCCTGGATAAAATTCAAAAAGTACAGAATAAAAATACGGCTCGCATTGTTCTTCGCAAACGCAAATTCAACCATGCTAAAACATTTCTGAGAGAGTTGCATTGGCTGCCGGTCCGCGGTCGCATAGAGTACAAAATTGCAAATCTGTGCTACCGCTACTTGCATGACCTGGCGCCGTCCTATCTCAAAGCGCTCATGATGCCTCATGTAACCATTAGACAACTCCGCTCATCTGATAGTGGCAAACCCTCGATACCACGTGTTCGCCTTGAGACTTATGGAAGGCGCACGTTTGCATTTGCTGGCCCAACACTTTGGAACACACTTCCTGTCCCTCTCAGAAACAGCCAGACACTGGAGTCTTTCAAACCCGATTTGAAAACACATCTATTTTGCAAACACTTGTTGGGGTGATGTTGTCTACCATCTTTTCCAGCTAACTATTATCTTCTAGCTGTATAACAGAGGCGTAGCGAGGTTTTTGGCGCCCGGGAACAAGATTCGAGCCCGGGGACAAGATCCATTTCAAAGCGCCCCTTTTTCTTTTTTTTTAACTCTCAAGCCCATTATTTTTATCAATAAAATAATATCAAAGTACATTTTGGCGCACGAGGACATCTGTCACCCCTGCCCCACCCCTCGCTACGCCTCTGATGTATAGTGGCCTGTGCTGTTTGTGGTTGCAAGGGATGAAAGACTTAACTTAGAATGGGTTTTCTCGTATGTAGTTTTGTAATGTTGCGTTTTGTATTTCAATGTGGTAAAATATAGATTTTTTCATTTCTCTTTTAATATGTTTGACTTTGTACCGCGATTCGAGCCTTTGGGGATGAAGATTGATTTTCAAATAAGCTTTATTATTATTATTATTATGTAAATGTCTAAATATAAAACCTGTTTACCAATGCCAAATCTCTGGTCGTTAATCTATCAAAATAAAATAAGTGATAGGATCCCCGACAGGAGCCCATTCTAGAAGGGGCACGTTTATGCATACGTATGAGAGGGGCTCCGGAAAACTTTATTAATCATACATTCCAGAGTGGAATGCTCCGTGTTGAATTCTCATCATTGTATATGGTGGAAGGTGATTTTAACGCGGTTTACCTGCTTTGTTCAAAGCATAGAGATATCATATAAATTTGCACAATGTCACTGAAATTTCTGTCAAGATACTTACAAATAATAATTAAATAATGCCCCGTTTACCAGTACTAAGCAAATGCATTGATGCCTCCATGACGTTAAGAAAAAATTATCAAATGAGACGTTAGATATATTCAACTCTTGATAATTAATTATATTTATAAAATCAAGGTAATGATTAATTCAATTAATTCGTATAATGCTTATGATTGGGTTCGATTTGGGAGGGGGCTGAGGGCAAGTTTGAGAGCGCAATGTGGTGATGGCCGAAAATGGTTAGAAAACCACAGTACAGAACCAAATAAATATTTTAAAATGTTAATTGCGTTTAAGCTTAAAAGGGGAAACGTTTGACCGAATCAGTGATGTGAGTAAAGCCAGTAAAAGCAGTGAAAGCGCTGAAACACAAGAGTTTGCTCATATTCAGGCCTAACCTAAAGGTTATGCACAATAATGTTAATTTTTTTTGTTTGAAAAATTAATAACTGCAATGTTATCTTTTCAAATGTAAAAAATAAATAATAATAAGTCATCTTGTCACCTGTCAGTGTCAGGTTGGAGGAATTTCTGCCCATTTTCAGATTAAGAACAAAAAAATAATTCTGATAATTCAGTTCTGTTTTTCAGCTAAACAATTTATGATTATGCCTACCTTAATTTCCCATACAATTCATTTAGTATTATTATAAATGAATATTTTGTTTGAACCGAGAATTCAATGAAACCGTGTTTAAAAGAACCCATTATTTTAGTGTATACTATAACTATACTGATACTCAGTTCATCTCGGTGTTTTGTCGGAATTTGGTAGATGTAACGTGTTTACTTATCTATTAATAAAAAGTAGAAAGACTGACACTGACACTACTGTTCAACAAGAAAATCACTTACGACACTTTCGTGTATGTTACAGTTTATTATAATTTTCCATCCATTGATTTTGTAAACACTTTTTACCACTCAAATTAATTAAATATTTGACAGAGTAAGTTGTTTTAGTAGACTGTACTATAATCTCGTATGTAATGTTTAGTTTTACTTTTAGTTTAGACTTTTTTTTTTTTACTAATACTAGTACTATAATCTATAACTATAATTTTACAACTAAGTTTACTAAGTAAATTGTAAAGTAAAGTTGACTTCTAAGAAGTACGGTATTGACTAAGAAACTAATTTATTACTAATTTAGCCAAGGCTAAGGGCCCATACTAGACTAGCCTACTATAGGCGCTTTATAGTATTATCATAAACTTTTAGTAGCCTTACTAAGTTAACTAAGCTTTACTTACTCAGGTTGCTGAATAGGGGGGGNTCACGAGTACTCAGCTTTTATTTTGTTATAAACTTTATTTATTTAATTATTTATATTTATAAGCAATATAGTGCTGAAAATTATTGAAATAAAGAATAAACATTAGACTAGTAACTATGATAAGATGGCCCTGCCACTGACTCACTGTGCCTGTACTAATTGTACTAAATTTAACCTAGCTAGACTTACATAATTTAGGCAATTGAGGCTGTTGTCAATTGTTACAGAACTGTAGTGGTAAGTAGGGGCAGATAGAGATAGAGTGATTGAATCCACCTGGTTAATTTGGATACCCCCCTTCCCAATAAGCCCAATACAATGAATTTGGATAAATTGGGGCTCCAAAACCTTTTTGACATTTTATCATTTACTGTTTAAATAAGCCAAGGTCTCAGGTCTAAAGCTTATTATTCACTCCTCAGAACGGCAGTCCCAAATTAAAAATAGATGCCAGCCTAATAGCCCAGATTATTGGTGACATAATTTTTTTACTTCAAATTTTGTTTGCAGACTAATTATTGCTTGTAATAATATAAAATAAACAATACCATGGCTGACAGACCACAAACACCAGTTCATATTTCAAATAAATGTTTTGTCAGGAAACATTCTGCAAACTTATGACAATGCCGACGGCACTTGATGCTTTGTTTAGTGTGGCCGTGGCTTGCTGAATATTGTCTCAATACAAAACAGCAATTCAACAGAGATAACTTTTGCTTTCTCTCTTGCATTTTCTTTCTTTTTCTTCTTCTTCTTTTTTTATTTCCCAGGAGATCATGATGAAGATCGCGACCTCTAAAAAAATTAATTAATTAAAATAGAGCATTAGACTTAATAAAATATGTCACCAATTATCGGTGGCTATTAGACTAGTAGCCGAACACTTTCTAACGAATAGTATTCTATTTTTTTTTTTGGGACTGCCGTTCTGAGGAGTGCCAAAAATTAGGCCTACATTATTTTTATAAATTATTTTAGTCCCTAAAAATATTAAAAAATTGAAGAAAAACCAAATAGTGAGAGATATTTATGATATTCTTCATTTTTTGTTACTTCTTAACTAATTTCAGTGTCTTCTGTAAAACTTGTCAAATTTAGAAGCAAAATCTAGATGTTATTATTGTTATTCATGAATTCTAGTTGCCCTTGCTTTAGCTTTGAATTACAACATTTTTTAACTGAGAAAATCAAATGTTTTATGCAATACTCCAACAAGTTAATCGAAATTCCTCGCATCATGGCATGCCTTTCAAGCACCTATCTTGCAATTTCTTGTAAATAAAATGTTAAACATGAAATAAACATTTTCCTAAAAACTTGATTGTTAACATCAGTACAAAATGTTTGAATTGAATCTAATGATGAAGAAATTGAAGATTAAGCACTTTTCATTTTCTAGAATGCACAGGTTGTAACTGTTTAATCTTCAAAATCCTCTTGTTCATGATCTAACTGGGAATTTTTTAAAAATTAAGATGAACATGCTAAATTTTTAAAATTCAAGTGCACAAATAAAATGAAAATAGAAATGGAAGGAAATTGATGATTATTTGTAAGAAAATTATAACATTTGTTTTAAAGTAGTTTCAAAAACTGAAATATCCAAAGCTTTCCCAGTCAACCCCTGCCTGGGGCTCCCTGTAAATTCACTTAGCAGATATAGTTAATAAAATGGCTTTTCACTCAAAAAAGTTTAACTTCTCCATCAATAGTTAAGATACAAAGTGATTTTTTTTTTATGAACTGCATTTGTAGGTACCTGATTAGTTAAACCTTGCACAAAAAACTTAAGAAGTCAAACACTTTCAAAAATTAAAAGGATAAAGTAAATTAAAATAATTTTTCGAATTGTAGAAATTTACCTCTTTTCATTCCTCTTCTATATAAAGTATATATTTATTGTTTTAGCAACTTATTTTGGCTTATTTAATTTTTTTTATTGTACAATTGGAATAGAAATATATTCAAAAATAAAATTAAATTAAAAGATTTTAATAGTTAATTTTTTGTAATGTGTACATACTTTTAAAAAGGTAAAATAATAATAACCAGGAATTTGTATGAATACTTTATGGAAAAAGAGGTTATTTTAAAAAAAAAAATTATCATTTCCCTTTTTTGACATATTTTACACATTATGAAATGTTCTAAATTAAGCAAATGACATACAAAAATGAATTTTCTTTCTGAATCAAAAGATTTTATTAAATAAATTTTGGTATCGTTTTTTTTTTTTACTTCTTCACATCTAATCACCAGAAATTTTGTATTTCCATTTTCATTAAAAATGAAGAATTTATTTTTTTTCACAACTTCTGAATGTTGAAATTATGTTTCAACAAATATTTTAGAGGACTCTTGCATTTCTCCAAAAATATATATAACATCATGAACTCTAGATATGTAGTTTAGAAGTTATTGACTCTTTTGTAAGGTGTCACGAAAAACAAAAAATGCATGGAATGTAAACAGTTAAGTAAACATTTTCACTTTTGGTAACATTTGTTCAGGTTTGACAGGGAATCAGAGTCTACCACTAAGCCTGTGATTAGCAAGTGATCCAAGTGTACAAAGAAGTTGAGGACCAAGTTGTATAGAATAGCTATAATAACATTAGTTTTTTTCCTGTTATGATTTAGATGTCGCTATTCTGGGATCAATGTTAAAAGTGGCCGATGACAAAGAGCCCATCATGCCTAGAAAGCTTGTTGACAAAATTTCTTCAAAATACAAGAGACTTTCTAATACAAGGTCTGGGGATGGATTTGTAGATATTCAGGTAAATGTGTTGCATTAATGCAAATTCATCCTTTTAAATACTTTTAGTGATTAGAAAGGAAGTAGCTAGAAAGATGGGATAGCATGTATATACCATTTTGTGTTTATGAAATTAAAATCAGTGGATCTCTTTCACATAATTTAACTATAAAATCTAATAAATATGTTGAAGTGTTAATCTTTTTAAAAGAGTTTACATTTTATGTACATTTTAAGGTGACCCTTTCTTTCTATAAAAATTAAATTTCCTTTAATCCCGTTATATCTATGTCAACCATACCAACCAAGCAGCAAGTGACACAGGTTTGAAATTACTGGTTACTAAAAATAGTTCAATTAAAATTGGCTCCCAATCTAAAACGTATGCTAACCCCAATTTTACAATTAAGTAACCATGCCATCTTAATAAAAAAATAAAAAAAACCACACAGGCTCCTCCTGCTTGATTTCTTCTGATACAGCAAGGATAAATATGGAAATTGAAAGGATCCTTGCATGTGTCTATAATTTATATCCAAGTCTTGCAAACAGAGGCATAGCTAGAGTATATGGTGCAAGGAGACAAGATTCAATTTTTACTCACCCCCCCCCCCCCCCCCCCCTTTTTTTTTTTTCTTCAACTCTGAAACTTTTTCTTTAAAAAAATAACACCAAATACCATTTTGGCGCCCCTATCTAGTCTTGCACCCGGGGTCAATTGTCTACTCCCCTTTAGCTAAGTCTCTGCTTGCAAATACCAGAGGAAATGAAATACAATCGTCAGCCCCATTAATTTTCTTAAATGCTTTAGCCCATCACAAATACCTATAAAATAAAGTGTCTTTCTTGAGTACATAACCATAAATAACTGGAAATCAAAGTGATTTATTTTGTATATATTATCCAGTACTTCATGTAACATTTCACTGTAATAAACATTTAAAACACGGTATAGCAGAATATATTTTCTGTAGACAAGTGGTTTCCGAACCGTTTTTCCTTGCTTCAAATTAAAACTAATTCCTAAAATACAAATGCTCCACAATTTTTTATTAGGGTCAAACAGCGTATTATTAAAATGATATTTCAAATTTTTGGTACCATGCTTTATATATTGTTGCTGAACATTTAGCAAAATCAAGAGACACTTTCAGTAAGCTAGCACTAGCAGCAAGGTAAATACATTTCACGAATTTTACCAAATACTCTTTCAACAGTTTGAGAAACCTCCAACCAAGGTACCATACAAAGCAATTTTTCTGGCGACTGGTCTTTTTGTACTTGGCAGTGTTCTCATCATCGTAGGATCTCTCTTGCTCACTGGATACATAAGTGCTCAAGTAAGTTAAAATAATTATCTACAGATAATAATGTTTATGATGATACTGATTTATTCTACATTTGAATACTATGCAATGTTTAAATTGTAGTTGATGTTGTTATAGCCTGTGTGTTGACCTAGTTTTGTTCATGCTGTGTGGTGTTGAGCCATAGCATGCAACCTTACCTCCCTCTTTGGTTTTGTTACTGACATTACCATTTAACTCTGCCACTACTTTCCTCCACTGCCCTTGATGGGGAAAGTTTGTTTACTTTTCCAGATGGGTGTACATAGAGGGAGATGTCTAAACTTTCTGTTCTGGGGGAGGTTTTGACTCTCTGAATATAAATATGACATTTAAAGAGACTTACCAGAACAGGAGCCCTACAAAACTTACTAGACTTTTCACTGTGTGTGTGTGTATAAATTTTAATATTTGTACTTTTCTAGTTTTATACTTTCTCACTTGCTGTGGTGTAAGTTAATATAGTGCTTTTTTCTGTATATTTTTTAATTTTAATTTTTATGTCAGCTTAATACATTAATTAAACTGAATATGGATATCACTAGCTTTTTATCTGTTTCCCTTGGCTACTGATTTTCAGTCAGTTGTTATGCATTGTTCATCCAACAAGCCAAAATTTAAAACAACAGATTAAATTTTTTAAACCTTGTAACTTTACATAACAATGTGATTGCTATTTTCAATATTCACTAAAGCTTCACTGATTTTTTTGTAAATGCCTTAAATATCAGACTCTATATCTATGCATTATCCCATGAACTTTTAATGGTATGTTTCTGTACTGTGCAGGCAATTTAGAGCTTTTTGGGTGCCTTTGAAAAATGTGATTTTTCACATGCAAATACTATAGCTAGACCCCATAAAGCATATATTTGTTGAAAATAGACTGAGTGGGGAAACGTACTGGCTATTTTCTAATGATCTTTTATACTCACTGACGATGACCTTGAAGAAGCCAAGAATAAAGGAAATAATGAAATTTGTTTCTTTTCAAGTACCTCAAACAACATTTTTTTAAAGGCATATTATTATAATATTTATATAATATGACAGCATTTGTATTTATCTTTCAGAAAATGTATTATTTATGTATATGTTTTAGTTATTAATAGATTTTAATTAAAAAAATTCTTCTGATACCTATAATTAGTTCAATTAACCAAGCACGACATAAACAATATAAACATTACTAAAAAGCAAGAAACTGATAAAATTTAAAAAGCTGCAATATAAATATTTATTACATAAAATGGATAAGAAAACATTTACAATGTTCGACTACGACCTATGCAACTTACAACCATTCGACTTTACCACCACATCAAAAATTATGATTGATAACAATAATAAAAGAAATTTATGATATAATTTAAGGTAAATATTTTTATAAAACCACTTTACATTGCTGTACACACAGGGTACTCAACTTACGACCAAATCCGTGTAACGACCGGTCTGTCAGAACCGATCATGGTCATAAGTGGAGCACTTATAGAACAAAATCCAATTATTTTTTGTTGGTACAAAATCATTTGCAACATAGTTTTAAAAGAGTCCTGTTGTTGCAGCAATGCCGACTCGTTCTAGGCCTAGTTCTAAATCGTCCGAACATTAGCTTTCTGACCCACTAAAGAAATAATTGGAATTATCATTGTCTTCGTGTGTGTGATCTTCCAAATCACTTAAGTCATTAACTAAAAAGAATTATCAAAAAGATTCCTGATTTATTTTGTAAGCCAGATGGGAACAGCTATGGCCTCATCTACTTTGTGAAAATCTACTTACACAAATTTGCTTGATAAAGACCGTTGTAAAAATAACTCAAAAATTTAAAAAAATGACACAGAACAGCAAAAAATGGAAGTTCATTTATTAATAAAAGGAAGTTGTTTTATTTGGTGTAAAATATTGGTGTTGAACTTATTCATATTTCCTTGAAAAAAAAAAAATGAAACAGTAATTAGTGGTAATAAGATTCTTGTATTGTAAAACCTTATATATTGAATCTTTCATATTCCTCCAGTATTCAGACAGAACATGGCCATTACTTCTTCTTGGTGCTCTGATGTTCATCCCTGGTGCCTACCATGTTCGTATTGCCTATTATGCATATAAGGGCTATGATGGATTTTCTTTTGACGACATACCAGAATTTGATTAAAACACATTCTAATTGATCGAAAAGTTTTCTTGGCTTTGCTGACTAAAAAAATTTTAAACATGATTAACTTATCCTATTTGAAAATTCCAAAGAGAAAATCTTTTATTATTTGTATTTCCTATAAATTTAGTATCCATTTCATTTAGCCTTTAACATAAATAGTTAAGGTGAAAGAGGATTATAAAATTAGAAAACAAATATTAATTTTATTGTTTTCATTTTGTTCAATATGCAAAGTTATGCTGCTCTTTACTGATTTAATGTAACATGAATTGTAATGTACACAATTTTTTAGTGTCATAATTTAAAGAAAAATATTTAAACATTAATTTTGCAGTTAGGTTTTTTTTTTGTTATCAGAAACTTTTTAAATCTTAACTTTAAAAACACTTATAATTCAAATTTGATTTCATAACAAAAAGTTGAACTTGGAAGAAGTGTAGAAAAATTAATCCAAGAAATATGCACTCTTTATTCTCTATGAAAAAACACAATGCATCTTCAGATGACATAGTTTATTGTAATAGACATGGCTTTTATATAATCTTTACAAACTTTGCTCCAGAATGAAACCGAGAGATACAACAAAGCAGATATTATAAACATTCATTTTTAATATTCTTTAGTTTTAACAGTTGTAGCAAACCTGACTTTTACCAAAAGCCTTATAAGCTATTTATTAAAAACAAAATCATTGTCTGGACTAAAGAAAATAATTCTTACAGATGCAGTTGAAAGATATTTTCAGAATTCTTATAATTTTCTCCTTTAGCTAAAAGTCAATAAATTCATAAATGTTTACTATATGGTTTAAGTTGTAATATTATATACTTTTAATGTTTAATGATCTAATTGCAGATTTTTTGGGTGTGTAGAAAAATGGAAAATTGAAATCAATTCAGCGTTTGGTCTTAATATGAGGACACACTTGCTGAAAAAAACTGCCTTATCAGTTTTTGTCATTGTGGGTCAATTCACAAGAAACTGGTCTGTTGTTGCTAGAAAATGACCTAAATTAAAAAAACAGGTTGGACAACTCAAATCAGTTTCTTTGATCTTTTCAACAAAAAAAAAAAGCTGAATTCATTTTCTTTGAAAATACTTTGGTACTAAAGTTGACTAAAACAATGCACTTGTAATATTCCAACTGTAAATATGACATATATTTTCACAGACTGAAAATTATTTCAACATGTATATCCTATTGCATGATATATTGCTGTGTTTTGTTGATTTGGGGCTAATGTTCAAGGTTGTAATCATAACTTTATGTAAAGATTGCTGCATTTTAATTTTTTTGTTAAATTTTTTTAAATATGGGCTATTGCATGTAAGGTCTATTGATGGATTTGGACCAAAAGATTATTGGTGATTGATCACCTGTATCATGTTAGCTCATGTCTCAGCAACTTACTTTGCTAAAAGAACAAAAGGTTAAAATGCTTGTACTGGGGTTTTGTAAAGAGAGCCAATAGAGGTATATTGCACTCAGAAACAATTTGTCTTAAAGCTCTACACATCCATCCACAAAAGATATGTGTAAGCAATTTCAACAAATTAAAAAAACTATCAGTTTTAAATTGTATTTTTAATTATGAGAGAGTTGCTGCAGAGCCCTATGCTAACATCTTATTAAAATTGGTAATCTCATCTAACTAACAGAATTTGATACTCACTGGTCTTTTATGTGAAATTTTTAATGTTTAATACATTTTGACAGAGAGTTAATTGGTTTACTTTCCCTTGATTTTTGAGAAATTGTTTTTTTAAAAGGCCACACCCAGGCCAGGTTTGGAAATCCCCCTTTATCACTATTTTCCTTAGCCCTCCTTACCCCCCCTCCCCCCCCCCCCCCCCCCATTCTTTACCCCGAAACCAACCTCTAATAGCATTTATAAAATTTGTAAACATTATCTTAAACAATTTTTTGTATCTCCTTAAGCTTCCCAATCATGATAATTAGCATGTAACAGTGTCAGATTAGCTCCCACTGTGTCAAATTCATTTCTTTTTGTTAGCAAGATTCATATATTACTTGAATTTATTGTCATTAAATTTTATTTGGTTTATGAACAAAGAGACACTGCCTTCTTTTCTTTTTTTTTTTTTTTTTTTAATGAAATTTTCTTAATGGACTACATGTAAGTTGGGAGAGTTAAGAATAAGAATTTTAATGTCCACAATATATTCCCCACCTCTGCTTTTGAAAGTCAAGATTTTTTTTAACAGTATCTGGTCGGATCACAAGTTTATGAACAAAGAGACACTGCCTTCTTTTCTTTTTTTTTTTTTTTTTAATGAAATTTTCTTAATGGACTACATGTAAGTTGGGAGAGTTAAGAATAAGAATGTTAATGTCCACAATATATTCCCCACCTCTGCTTTTGAAAGTCAAGATTTTTTTTAACAGTATCTGGTCGGATCACAATTCAAATATTTACTGTCATTTTATGATATGAAAAGAGCCTTTTTTTTTTTTTTTTTTTTTTAAATATGATTGTGGACTTTTTTTTTTTTTTTTTTTTTTTTTTTTTTTTTTTTTTTTTTTTTTTTTTTTTTTTTTTTTTAAATATGACTGGCGACCTATTTTTTCATTCTTCATACACACCCACATACACAACTGCATATCCACCTTCAAAACCAAAGTTGAACAAATACAAAATCCCTTCCTCCCTTTAGTCATTAAATCCTTATTAATTCTTGAAAACTAATCCAAGAACAGTAGTTAGATTGGTGCACGTTGGGGGTTGGGAGTGTCAAATACAGTTACTTGTACAAATCTTAATTTATTTAGCTGAAGCTAGAGTGTAATATTGTGTGCAGTGACTAATATTCACTGCATTTTTTAATTGTGTACCAATAATTTAAAAAAATTCAGGATTTAAATTCTGAAAAAAATGAAAGGTAATAAATAAAATATTGCATCTGTTTTTATGAATGTATTTATAAATCCGAGTAAATCCTCAACATTGGGATACTGGTCCGAGTAAATCCTCAACATTGGGATACTGATCCGAGTAAATCCTCAACATTGGGATACTAATCCGAGTAAATCCTCAACGTTGACATACTGATCCGAGTAAACTGAGAGCTTATTTTTAATCACAGTATTTCACAAACACTTCAAGTTAAAAAACTTTGTAAATAAATAAGCCAGTGTAAATGTACCAAAGATGGAGGTCTTAAATGTTTCTCGATCACATCATGAAATATCATTTTATTTTGTTGGGTGGAGTGTAGAAAACACTAAACCATGATCAACATTTAATCTTTATTCACAAAACAAAACAAAAAAATACTGCCATGTTAATTTTAAGTCAATAAATGATCTTTGTGTTTCGTATAGTGTAAATATAAATATTATTGATGGTTAATCAGTTGTTTTGTTTTTCCGTTTGTTCCTTGAATTCTTTCAACATGCAAGCATAATTAGTAAGCTTAAATTTCTTAGGAAATCTCCAAATGTTTCACCGATCAATGTTAAAGGACAATTAAGTCTTGAGTAGTTTGTTGTAATCACCAATGGGTCACCCCAAAACCCATTTCCCCTTTCTCCATACTCAATTTTTTTTTTTTTAAATTTTATAAATCACCTTTACTTATCAAGAATGCAAGATTTTTTCTTTTTTTTTTTCTGAAAACCTGACATTTTTTATTCTTAAAATCTTGGAGGGGCATTGTATTGTCCATTTGCAAATTATTGCTGTTAAATATTTTCTGGTCTTTGAAACAGAATTCTTATTGTTGATGACAAGAAGAAAATAAAATGTTTATAAATAAGGGTTTATTTTGTTTCCTTCTTTTGTCTTTCTGTTAGAGCAGGGATTCCTGCATTGAACACACTGAAATATTCATAGCCCATTACTTCGTTGTCTCAATAAATAATGAGTTGTAAAGCATCTCTGAGACTTTCCAGCAGCAACAATTTCAACTCTCCACTTCGTGTTTAATGCACTTGTGGGTTTTTTCTTTTTTTTTGTGTGCCCTAAGCTGTAAGCCTCTGGAAGCTGAAAGTCTCGGCGGCCTTCTTGCCTTCTTGCTTGGAACAACAGAAGATCTAAGATTGGCATGAGTTTCAAGGGGAAATAAACAGTGAGGGAGTTGGAGAGTAAACAAAACTAATGTTTGTCGTCAGAACTATTTTTACCCCTCCAGCTTGTGATGTCATACGGGTATTGTTACCCCTCCAGCTTGTGACGTCATGCGGGTATTGTTATCTTCTTGGGCTGCAAACTTAACTGCACCGAGAAGCCATTCATAAGGTTATCTTTCTATAATTATTTTAGTAACGAATTGTGATCAGAGTCAGGCAGAGGCGTAGCGAGGGGGGATAGGGGGGACAGATGGCCCACACATTTGCTCTAAGTTCCAGTGACACCAAATTTTTAAATAGCATCTCTCCTGTTTCCTCTCCGACTAAATGTAGAATAATGCAATGGTATATTCAGATATGTGCTAAAATGCATTTTGAATTTATTAAAGATTTCCTATAGACTATAAAGAGTTAAGGGGTGAGACTAAGCTAGGAAGGAAAGTATAACCTCAAGGGCACTACACCTGAAATGAATTTAGTTCATGTCGGCTGAGGCGGAGTTAGTGATGTTCCTAAGCTTGTGCCAAATTATTCCCCTGGAGCACCCCGCAACCGGAGTGAATTCAGTTTCACCACAACCGGAATGAATTCAGTTTCACCACAACTGGAGTGAATTCAGTTTATGTATGGCACTAAGCGCCATAATGCCTCCCCGGAAGCTTGAAAAATCCTGTTCCCGATCTAATAGGCGAATAGAAAAATTTAAGTCAGCTAAACTCCAAAATGCAACTTTGATTTTGAAATTATCAAAAATTTTACCCAGACCCCCTCTTCCGCTCAAGAGCCATCTGCGCCCTCGATTTCTGCCCTTCTTCCCGATAAAAATGACAGTACAGTTTTGGATGATTTCTGCGCTAATAGATACACTTTCTATTGGGGAAGCCTATATTAGTGGTCTCCCCCCCCCCCCACCTTTTTCCAGGATCAGCTTAGATTTGCCCCGCGCTCCTTTTCACGACTAATAGATACACTTTCTATTGGGGAAGCCTATATTAGTGGTCTCCCCCCCCCCCACCTTTTTCCAGGATCAGCTTAGATTTGCCCCGCGCTCCTTTTCACAATACAACCTCTGCAGTTGTCCGAAAATGCCGCCCCTCCATGTAAAGAAAAAGTGACACCTGGGCGAACCACCCCATGTGCCCCCACTTTCTACTCCACAGACAGAAGCATAGCTGGAGTGTTTGGCGCCAGGGAGACAAGTTCTCTTTTTACGCCACCTCAACTCCGCAACCGTTTATTTTCAACCATTAAATACCATCAAAGCCCATTTTGGCGTCCCCGTTAGTCTTCTTTGCCAGGGGACATCTTTTGACACGCTGCCCCTACTAGCTACGCCCCTGGCCACTGGTTCTGCCCACACGAAAATCTAAAATGCACCCCCTCCCGGAGGAAATGGCTTGAAAGAAGCGCTGGCTGCATTCCTCATCGAGGCAGGCTAATATTTTGAAGTACGATAATTGAAAATATTATTTTAAATTATGATAATTGATCATCCTAACCCAATCTACGATTTTAAATGCTTATCAACCGTTTTTATGTTTAATTGATCACAGTTAATCTACAACCTTTTCTAATGCTCAGTTTTTTCTTTTTCAGTTTACCTTTTCAAATTTTAAGCAATGATTTCATTTTTTTCTTCTTTCTAAATAATCACTACGCTGTAATACCCATCATAACGCAGGGCCGGGGAATTTAGGGATTAACTAAAGGGACTAACTAACTAAAGATCCATACAAACTGTGCTTTGGATATTCACTTACAAATAGCTAATAAATGTGAAACTTAAAGATTAGATACCCAGCTATAGGTGAGGTTCACATGGCTTTGAGTGACTGAAGCTATAAATCCGGTTCTATTGTATTGACTGAATGGTGGATGGGAACCGTTGGCCTTGGATGGCAACTCGTCCAAGAGAAGGACAACTCCGGGTGGTAGAGTCCAGTAGGCGGTATAACAGTGGTGCAATGCAAATTTTCCGCCAACTCCTGCGATGTGGAACGCATAAAGAGCACAGCGAAACACGCAAAACAAAACAACTACACTGCTGGTCATCGACTGAATCCTGGTCTATGTCCAGCCGCGTTGACTAAGTCTTGCCATGGGTTCAAATCGGCAAGGGCGAGAGAGTGAGGCTGACGAATTGAGCCATTCTCCCTCATTTTAAACAAAATGCATCTCAAGTCTAGGCTACAAAAAGGTCGAAAATTACCTTGGTCATCTTCGCATCCGATGGGCGAAAAATAGTAATACTATTGACTGAATCTACAAAAACCGGTTCTCGTGGAGTTGCTGAATCTATAGAGACAGATCTGTTTGAATAAATGAATCTATAGAGACAGATCTGCTTGAATAAATGAATCTATAGAGACAGATCTGCTTGAATAAATGAATCTATAGAGACAGATCTGTTTGAATAAATGAATGTATAGAGACAGATCTGTTTGAATAAATGAATGTATAGAGACAGATCTGTTTGAATAAATGAATCTATAGAGACAGATCTGCTTGAATAAATGAATCTATAGAGACAGATCTTTTTGAATAAATGAATCTATAGAGACAGATCTGTTTGAATAAATGAATCTATAGAGACAGATCTGCTTGAATAAATGAATCTATAGAGACAGATCTGCTTGAATAAATGAATCTATAGAGACAGATCTTTTTGAATAAATGAATCTATAGAGACAGATCTGTTTGAATAAATGAATCTATAGAGACAGACCTGTTTGAATAAATGAATCTA